ACCCAAATCTCATTTATATCAACTTTACTTTACTCTTTACGTTTTTAAAAGTTCTGCATATGACTTTTCCTGTGCCTTTATTGTGACCTTGCTCGTGGTTTCTTCAGGCCTATCCATCCTCTTTGATTTGAATCGCTGTCTTTTAGTCTTCTCGTCTTCCAGGATTTTTAGCTTTGTCTTTGAAAATAAATTCCAAACATTTATTCAGGCAATTTTTGTCTAAAGCTTTGACCTTAATGTTCGTTGAGAGTTTTGCTATATTGCTTGATTTCCCAGCTCCTCACAGTTTTTGTACAGTACTTCCACATCGGTAATACCACTACCGAATGGATGACATTTTTATTGGTAGGGCACATATTGTAATACACTGGCCCTTGTTTTCTCTTTTACATATAATATCCGTTTGGACTCTAATAAAATCAATATGTCCCTCATTCAATCCGTCATCTAGAAACACTTCCGCGTTACTTAATTTGTTAAGCAGCGCACGACTGTTTCCATCAATTGCAGGTTGCCTCGGGTCCATTAGTAATGCCAAGTCTTCAAATGTTTAATGTGAGCATATATGAACCTTTGTAGTAGATGTGTATTGATCCGTGGCATAGTAGCACCCAAAAGAATGGACCAATTTTTAGTTTTCCATTTGAACTTAATCGTCCGATAGTTTGTAAGATCCTTAACTTGCGTTCTATATATGTTGATACAGCATTTTGTACAATTAGTAGCAGTCCATGGGACTCAAATTAAAGCACCCTATAACTCCTCTTGATGAGGAAGGGCAGTGATCGAAATAACTTTCTCACTTTAGTTCCACTAACTGGTTTAAATTAGTTAGTGTCCTGTACTATTGATTCGCTGAAATGGTAGAAAACAAGATCTGTTTTAATGTTGGGAACCACAGACTTGATTCTCGCTTGTTAAGTTTGTGTCGTTGTAACTAATTTTTGTGAATCTCTTTGGACTTTGGCTTAACGATTTTGGTTTTATTGTTACATCAGATGGTATTTACATGGATTGTGGACGTAATATGCTCGACGCATCTACGATAAGATTAGAATATTAGTAAAAGGTCCGGGTGGAGGGTGGACTAGAGGAAACAACATCGATGATAAAATTTGTTTCATGAATATTTGCGGGATTAAAAGCAAAATTGATGCTGTTCATCATTACCTGCAACCCAATCGTCCCACCATGCTTTTCTGGCGGAGACAAGAATCATCGAGTCTGTACCGATTAATCATCTTAGCTTTCCAAATTACGAGGTGCAATCCAATTTGAGAGAGAACGGGGGAGTTGTCCGCAGCAGTCTTTCCTGCTTCTCCTTGGTGGTACCCATAATGAACTTTGATTGGGCTCAAACAAGCCCGATGCAGTTGAAGCGTTCGCTATTACCCAAGTGACGGGCCCCACTTCTTTTTCCGCGTTTTGTTACATGCCAGTAGCCTGCTTGATATCTTTCTGACCACGCATCCTGTCCCTTACAGCACTGCAGTAAGGTCTCCCCTGGATAACGTAGACCACGCTGTTGTGAAGGTTAGGTTTCGGTCAGAACCCGCTGTGGCGGCAGAAACTCGCCAAGGCCACGAAATTCGACATTTCGGACGTGCCGACTGGGAGGGGCCCAGAGAATTCTTCTCCACCTTTCCTTGGAGAGATGCTTGTTTCGCTGACGCGAATGCGTCGGCTGCCTGCTCTTCGATGGTTCAACAAACCGTGCGACTCTGCTCGCCAGCATAAGATCAATGTACACAGAACCTTCTTAAAAAACCCCACTGTAGAGAACAGCCAAGCCGACGACGAGTCCAAAAACAAATATAACGAAACGGTTCGCAATGTCAAACAGCAGCACGATATACAAGTTGGATACAGCGTAAGGTCCCAGCGCAATGGCAATTGGCCTTTCTGGATACTGGCCAAGCATATTGAAAGGAACTTCTCACAGGTGTAGCCTTCCACCACTTACGTGTGATGGAATGCTTTGCTGCCAACTCCAACATGGACGTCTCCGCCAACGCCCAAGTGCCGTCGATTCAAAGGGTTCCCTACAATATGCGGGAAGTAACATTCAGGCATAAGACCGTAAGACTCTTGCCGCTCGACATCAACAAAGCTTGTAGCCCGGACTTGATTCCTGCCGTTGTATTGAAGAGGTGTGCAGCGGAGATTGCTCCAGTTCCTCTGCGTCTCTTCCGTATATCTCACGAATCCGGCACCTTCCCAGAAAACTGTAAATTTGCTCATGTCCAACCCATCCCAAAAAAGGATCTAAGACCGACCCTTACAACTATAGGCCTATAGCTCTGCTTATAAGTAAGGTGGTGGAGAGGTGCATAAATCGTGAGCTTTTGAACTACCTCGAACATCACGGATTGATTAGCGACAGGCAGTATGGTTTCCGGCACCAGCAGTCGACACGGGATCGCCTAGCTTACATCACGCAATTTTGGAGCAAACTCATCCAGTCTTGTGGTGAGGCTCATGTCCTCGTTCTTAATATCACGTAAGCGTTTGATCAGATGTGGCTCTCTTATGCAAACGTCAATCATATGGCCTCCCAGAGAAGCTTTGCAGATGGGTGGCTGACTTTCTCTCTGGCCGCAGACCCGCCTAACTTCGGCCTCCCATTCTAACCGTGACGAGCTTCGTACATCCAGAACTGGCTGATACGACCACTCCTTTGTCCCGAGGGTTTCGAGATTGAGGAAGGCTGCTTCAGTATAAAAAAGAACGCGAGCAAACCCTATAAACAGTATAAACTAATCTAAAGAGTTTTCTCGTTTTGACTTGCATACCTAATGACTGGACACAACTGAAAAAATAAAAATATGGTGCAAGAAATTGTTGCAGTTCAATAAAGCGCATTGAATTAAACTATATACAGGATGGCGCATCGAAAACGAAACAAACGCATTTACTGGCAGCTCATTTTTTTTTAAAAACGCTCAGACCCGTCGATTTTGTTTTCGAGGGGGACACAAGTTTGGCAAAAAATCACGTTAGCACGTGCAGCCTCCTAAGCGGGGGTGACATCACCCCCAAAATCTTAAATGGAAAGGGGGTCGAGTGATACCTTATTTTAAAGGTCTTTGAAATCCCTTTATAATTATATAAAATTAATGTACTTCAGTTCAGTAGTTTTGAAGATTTATTGATTTAAAGCTTAAATAAAACTAATACATCATAATTAGTGGAGATCAATACATTTGGCAGCAAAGTATTTTAAAAATGAAGAATGAACTGACCCGTTAGACAAGTAAATGTTGAAAATGGCCACCATGACTCTCCATGCAATAATAAAGATTTTGGTCAAAACGTTGCCGCATATTTTGGAATATCTGAGGAGTAATTTGAAGGCACTCATTCACAATTCTTTGTCGCAGGGCTTCTAATGATGTTGGCTGAGTAGCATAGATTTTGCCTTTTAAATGACCCCACATAAAGAAATCCAAAGGTGATAAATCTGGCGATCTTGGGGGCCATTCAATGGCACCTCTTCTACCAATCCATCGATCTGGAAACGTCTGATCTAAATATTGTCCGACACGTAATGGGTAATGTGGTGGGGCACCATCCTGTTGGAACATCAACCTATTCGCAATGTACCGCCGATCATTCTGATTTTCAATTATGGCTGTTAATGCAGGATCTATGGCGTCTTCCAGTAATTCCAAATACATTTCACCGGTCAAATTTCCAGGTAAGAAAAAAAGGCAGCTAAACGATCGCCAAAAATATCAGCCCAAACATTTAATTTTTGTGGCTGCTGTGTATGAACCTCATGATAAATTCTGGGATTAGAATCGGACCAATATCGGCAGTTATGACGATTTACTACGCCATTTAAGAAAAAAGGAACATTCTTCGGAAAAGCAAGCGTTGAATAGAAAATGTTTATCGTTTATAATTCGTTCACTCATATCTTCACAAAATTGTAACCGCCGATCAAAATCGTCTTCATTAAGTTCTTGTACCAGGTGAATTTTATACGGATGAAAACTATGGGCCTTTAGAATCCGTTGGACAGTACGTCGACTAACACCACACACAGTCTCCAATTTGCGGGTACTTAACGTAGGATCTACATAAACTTGCCCTGAAACCCCCACTTCTATTGCTTCGTTCCTTATGGGATTTTCAATGTTGCGTTTTCTATTGGCGAAATTTAGCTACAAGTTCTAGAACATATATTCGATGCACGTTACTGTTCTCATGTCGCTCATTAAATATTTCTGCTGTTCTATTAGCGCACTGATTATTTCCGAAAAATATTTCGATAATTTCAACTCTTTCTGCTGTGGAATATACCATGGTTAATTTATGTAATAAAGCGTTAAAAGTTATTTTAGCAACAAAATTTGCTCAAATCAATTGCAAACTTTGTACTTAATTCCTATTTAAAATAAGTACGAGATATTTCCTTATCTTTCTTCAAGAAATAACTTTTTTGGCACAAAAAAAAAACGCTACAATAGCTATTTTCAACAACAAAATGATAAACAAACCATGGGCGTAGTGAAGAAAAGCATTTACTTATTAAGTAAATTCTTTTAGTCATATTTCTTCCGAAAGTAGTACAAACTAATCTGATGTACCTATTAAAGTCTACTTCAAGCTTTAAATCAATAAATCTTCAAAACTGCTGAACTGAAGCTCATATATTTTACATCATTATAAAGGGAATTGGAATACCTTTAAAATAGGGTATCACTCGACCCCCCTTCCCATTTAAGAGGTTGGTGTCACCCCCGCCCAGGGGGCTGCACGTGTTAACGTGATTTTTTGCCAAACTTGTGTCCTCCTCGAAAACAAAATCGACGGGTCTGAGTGTTTTTCCAAAAAAAACTGAGCTGCCAGTAAATTCGTCTGTTTTGTTTTCGATGCGTCACCCTGTGTATAGAATAGTCTTCTCTTTAGCCGCCATTTGAAGATTTCCCAATAGAGATTGCCGTTCCGATTTCGAACATATTCCGCCTAGTGTATGTACTATTTCTACTTACCATTTATAACATGAACATTAACACTGGTTGCCCCCGCAATTGTAGGAACACAGGAGTAATTCCCAGAGTCTGACAAGTGAACGTCGGAGATGTGTAGCTTCGACGTGAGTCCATCAATCCAGTGATTCTGGAAAAATAATTTTTTTGTTAATTTTGGTCTTTTAACATTTTTCAAACCTCTATGACAAAAATAAGGAAAACTTAGAATATATGCGTTAACCTAATGCAAGCTTCCAACAGCTTGTAACTTTGTTGAAAGAACCAGTGGCGACGCGTGACTTTTCCTAAACTGTTACCAAAAAATGTTTATTTTGAACCTCCCAAATATAAGTTTTTTAGTTTTAATTTAAATCGTTGACTCCGCTGCTGGTACACCCATTTTTTTTTAATAAAACAGAAGACATCGCCAACAATACAATTTGTTTTTTTGCAACCACATAACCAAGAGTTTCCATATATCAGCTTAATTTAAAATATCAAACTACGTTTTTTTATTCCTTTTTAAAATTATCTAAAATAGGTGTTGGTCTTCCATTTTCAATGATCTCCCTTTTTTCTTAAAAATTATACAAGGAGAATGACTTTTCAAGTAGTTGATCGATTACGCAGAGACACTCATCCATCTTTAATTGCACGCACACTACAGCCGGTAACCAAAACGACGACTAACGAGTGAGAAGTGAGTAACCAATTAAAAAAATGATAACAAGCCCACATAATAGTCGCAGCGCCCCACGCACTCGGGCGACCGCGATCACACACGAGCAGGTACCGACGGTCCCCGACAGACTACCAAGTGTATCCATAAATGAAAATGGTAACAACCGACTACCAAGTCGAGGCGAGTCAGCTTCATTATGTTAGCAAAACCTAGACACTATAGGGCGCATTATTTTCGTGGGGCTAATTTGCTATTTACTGAATTACTATTACATATCGCTGTTGGTAAACAAATAAATGAAATTATTTCACAGTACTTAGTCATCAAATATTTATTTTTAAGATTTTTAACTGCTACCAATGGTAACAATGGTTACATTGACGCTTCGCCACTGAAAAGAACAGAACAAAATGCATAGGTCCTTGGGGGCGATTAGATATCGCCAAGAGCAACCTTTTTGTATTCTGTGAAAGCACATCATCCTACACAAATTTTTGGAGAGTGGGGTTGCAAAGATTCTGAGGGTGCTTATGGAAGAGTGTGATGATATTGGTACTGGCAGCTATACCATTAGTGACGCATGTATTGAGAATAGAAGGTTCACAAGATTTGATTTCATCTGCAATGACGCTTTTTGCGCCTGATGCTTTAATTGCCCTTATCGGTGCAATTTTATTTCTTTTGGAGCCGTTTTAATAAAGAGCTGTCAGCATCAGAATCCGTTATTTTCACTCAATCAGATGAGACGAAAAAATTCACACCAATAAGGTAATAGAATAAAATATAGGAAATCAGCTTCAACATCAATTCATAAAATTTTTAATTGTAATCGTATTAAAGTATTGAAAACAAAATATTTGCCAAACTATGGTACGACAGCTTGGCGTTGTAATGGCAAAATTTTATTCAACTAGTAATTAGAAAATGCTCAACATCATGAAAAAAGACGTGAATAAAGTTCATAGCTCATTACTTTTGCACATATTTTATCCATACATGTTTTGTTTTTTGTAACTAACTTAGTCTTTTCTGTTTTTTTCTCAAGTATATAGATAGACATTTTTGGGATATGATCTTTTGACTACTTTTTGTATTAGATATAGCGTCGTCGTTTGTTGGAATACCCTGTATACTACCTGTTCAGCATTGCATTCTACAATTACTAGAGTCTTATTAGCCTTTTTTAATAGTTTTTAAAATAATGGCGAATGTGTAATGTTTATAACGAACATTCATCAAAATTAAAAATTAAAGAAGCTGGCGATCAATTACTGGAAATTATTGAAAAAAAAAAACAAAAACAAAATGCAATAACGTTGACAGCAGAAACTGTGCCATTAGTGGCGCTGATATTGAGTCTTCAGTCGACCGTGTTGGCTGATTTAATGTACCCTGTGAAGGTTAACGAGATTGACTTTCCTTTGCAGCTCGACGCGTTATCGCAGCAGGAAACAGAACGGCTTTGTGCGCCTGATGCCTTCATTGTCTTTGGCTGTGCAGTTTTATTTCCTTTAGATTGAATAGTGCGCCTCGTCTATACGCCATCGCTTTTCTATTGGCACAAACGGAAATTTTGTCGTGTCAACGTCGACCGTGATTTCCTTTTCCTTCCTTTTCTAAAGTACGTTTTACATATTAGTGGGACAATATCTGCTCTTGTAAACCGCGGTAGAATGACATTGTGATTATGCATGCATAACCATATTAAATTCCACTTTTTGCACTAAATATTTCGTTTAAATATAGGTACACTATACTGCAATGAACAAGGTTATTTATAGATATAAGTATACGATTCGTATTGATTGAAATATTATAATATAAATGAAGTAAGAAGTTTTCCGAAATCTTATTAACAAAGTATATGTGAATTAGAAAGAAATTATCAAACTAGTTATTTGATATAAACAATAAAAAGTGAAAAATTGATAAAAAAGTACATTTTCAAAAATAAGCTTATATTTAGCCTAACAAAAAATTCAAAAATATGTGTTTTCACGTTAGAAATATGCCGTTTACCTCTCAACTTTTAAGCGATGTTGAAGCTCCTTCGTCTCAAATAATACCTAAAATATAAGCATATTACCCTTTAACAGCAAGAGGTAAAAGGGTATAAGCGTATTACCCTTTAACAGCAAGAGGAAAAATGGGTGTAAGGCTCTTATTTGAAAACATGGATCGAATGAGCTTCAATAAAGTTTAGATATTAAGAAGTATAAGACGGCATATTTCCAATATCCATCCAATCTCTCTAAATTTATCATCCGTTTAATGCTAATCAAGAAGTAAAGAATACATTTTTTGACCCAGATTTCAATTAGCTGTTTAGCTGTTAAGCTAAATGAAATCTTGGAAATATGTATCTCTTTATTTCATTTATTCATCTTTCAAAATTACGAATTTAGTTTATTTCTCTTTATTAACAATAAAGGGACGATTCACATTACATCACAGTTAGTATTTCTACCGTACGAGAGTTTCAAAGCACACGTAATACAATTTGCTACTCAACACAAGGTGAGCGCTGTGTCAGTTTGGTAGGCATTAGTAGGCAAATCAACCCTAAAGTTTGCACTAAATCTTCTTAATTTTATAAATAAGTATAAATGGGCAAAGCTTCTGCTAACCTATTCGGATTCGTTAGCATAGCCATATTCGCACCCGCTAGCATACGATGGACATTTTATGGTAGGTACATTGTACATTGGACCTCTGACTAGTGGCGCAGTATCCATTTCGCTCCGGCTGAGCTCTGCTCCAATAGGATACTAAGGTTGATCAACCCAAAAGCCAGACTATTCCCTCTTAAATTCAGCTAACATCAAACTAAACCGTTCCACAGTGAATTAGATTAATCGAAAATGTGTAGTCACGTAGCCGTCGCAGGACCTCCGTTCCCGCGGACTGCTATGTAGGTACTAACTAAATTATGAAAGCAATATATCAAACGACAGCCGAATTATGTAAATTCGGAGATAAATTTTAAGTACCATTTATCTTTATTTTAATGTGATTCTGACGCGTCGACTGCGCGACGTACTGTGTAAAATGGGTAGGTAGCATTCATATCACGTCTGCACCAATGTGCCGGGAAGTGTGGGCTACACATGCAGCCTTTCTGTTCGTGAAATTGCATGATGACGTACATGAGAATTATAAGCGGCAGACCCGGCGCATATGTCCATAAATTAAAAGTTTTGCATGAACCTGTTTTATGCTGCGGATATCCATCAACCGCTGTAAACAATTTGTGATACTGATAATTTCATTTAAGGGTTTCGGACTTATTCAGCCCAATTCCAAGCAGATAAAAAGTTGACTAGATCATAAAATTTGAGTAAGTCGGATTATATAGTTATAGTCACCGTTCTTGGCGGGTCAAAGTATATAAGACTACCAGTACCCATTTATATATCTCCATCTCCCTCATACATACACATGCAACCTACCCCTGTGTGAACATTTGTTCGGTAAGGTCAAAGGCATACGTTTTTTAGTTGTGTGTCTCCGTCTCGAAAACTTTGTCGTTACGTATAGGTGCTCTTCAATCATATTTGTCAGAGTGACTACTTACTTGACATCGGCGTGCAATTTGAGTTGTACTGTTATCAATCTTTGATATAAAATTGTACAATGCCCGGAGATATGATCAATGGAGAACGCCGACAGGTCGTGCTAAATTTATTAGAGTATTTCCCGGAAGAAAATGAAAACAGCGGTCCCCTCTTGCCCACCTCATGCTTACTGAAGAGAGTAGCAGATGCGCTGAAGATTAGTCTGCGCAGTGTTCCGCGAATAAAATCGGAAAATAAGAGAGGTTTTCCCATAGTAACACATGGGGAAACTCACAAAATCAAAAAATGCAAGATCGATGATTAAGTGATGCCGTCAAAACAGAAATTAGAAGTACTTTCTACGATATGAGAGGTAAATGGTAACTTAGCACGACCTCTGCGCTCAATCAGGAGCTTAAAAAAGGTACGTATATAACGCTTCGGATTCAAGTTTAAGGCATCTAAAGCTTGCGGTTTTTCCTACAAGACAGAGGATGTGTGAAAAATCAGACATTGTTTCCAAACGTAATTATTTTACGAGACATTATATGAGCAACCTGAATAGTACAGATCCTCTCCAATGCGTTTTCCTAGATGAAACGTGCATATTTGCCAAAGGGTCGTTTGAACGAGTTTGGCAAGATAAAAACGTAAAGAGTTTAAACAGCGGCCATCAGGGTACCGGCAAGCGGTATGTTGTTCTCCATGTTGGGACAAAAACAATCACAAAGTGCTGACTACCACGATTCTATGGACAAATTCAAAAAAAAGGTATGTGAGAAGCTGATACCAACGTTACAAGAGCCATCTTTAGTAATCATGGATAATGCCTCTCATCATAGTGCCTAAACAGAAAAAATGCCCAATTCCAGTTGGAGTAAAATGCAATTGAAGCATTGGCTGCAATACAAAAATATACATTTTTTAAACTCGAGCTTTCGAATCTATGTCACCTTAATAAACCATCGGCTCCAAGATATATCTTAGACGAAATATTACATGAACACATCAAGTTTTGTGGCTCCCCCCTTACCATTGTCAATATAACCCTATTGAGTTAGTCTGGGTAATAGCCAAACAGTACAATGATCGTCATATCGGGGAAAATGGCTATGGTGGCAAGGAAGTTTTTAAAGTTTGGGTCGATGCTCTCGCTCCTACAGTTTGGGCCAAGTGTGTAAAACATACCGAGGACTTGATTAAACACGACTGGGACAAGCATCAAGTGTTTAATAGGGAGGAGACTGATATAATCATTCACTTGGGAGAAGGCTCAGATGATTCTGATGAAGAAATCCAATAGTTCATATTTTTATTGAAACAATTCTGAAAATTTATAATTCTTACATGTGTGCACCTGAATGTAGATTGTTAAATATTTTGATAGATATGGAAGTTACAAGCTTGATGTCTATCGATTTCAAAGCTCGAACTTAAGAGCATCATCATCAAAATGTAGTTTTTTGTCTAGCAGTAATTTATCTAGTCACATTATTATAGATGGTTCTTCAATAGCTCTCATAAGTTTGTCACATATCCACATATATATGTAATGTTAAGTGTTCCATCAAGTTAGCAAATAGAGGTGTTATTTTGTATTATATTGTAAATTACGTATGCATTTTTTATTTCAACTTTGAAAACATCAAATGGCGTGTTATTCTCTACCCATGTTTATGTACTAGATTAGAAGATTTTTGAGAATTACGATTAGTAAATAATTTTGAATCGGTTTCCCACAGTTAGGAAAATTAAGATCCGCCCACGGTACGGAGCCTCGATCTGTTTACTTATTTCGTATGATGTTGATGACATATCCGTCAAAGGAATTTGGACTGGTTAGAAGAAGCAAGTTTACGATTTTTTGGTCGCTAAAATTACGTAGCCGATGAGGCATAAAGCGCCAGTTTCACAGTTGTTGACATTTTACATTAAATTCGTGCTTCGTGCATATAAAAGAGCGTGGGTTCTATAAAATCCTGATATTAGTTGCTGAAACTCGTGGATGTTTCTCAGGATTGCATATATCAGTTCATAGTGAATTCATTAAGCACTCAGTCCCAATATAAGGTTTGTTAACAAAATTGTATACCTAACAACAAAATCGAAAAATACGAAACTTTAGTCCAACTGTACTAAAATTTAACTTTATCTACTCCAATTTTGAACCTAAAAGACCTCAGAAAAGGCACTTTTGCATTATACAAATCAGTAGTAATTTTACAATCATATTTTACTGGCACGAGATTCTAAGGAGGAAGCTCAGTACGCAAAAAAATATGAATATTTAATTAATTGGAATGGTTCCAAACCTTTTTATTAAATAAATATACTGCCAAAATTTCCATATCATGCTCAACTAAATATTTGATTTTAGCCAATAATCTGCTCGGACGACGACAACTATTTAAAAAAACCGAGTATAATCCATGCAAGGTGTCCACTATTTCCAATATTAGGTATTCCGCCATTGTTGCAGTTTGATGGAGATAATGTATTTCTCACATTTCAAAATCACGAATTAATCAAAATTGTTCATATGATGTACCGTTCAAAAGATTTTCTTTGCCCTTATTTAATTTATCCCTGTTTATTAAGAATAACTGAGCGACTCGCATCACAACACAGATGTATTTCTGCTTTGCTCTACGTGAGTACACCCAGTACGATAGCCACTTTTACCTTTTCCAGAAAAAAATGTACGCCGATATATTGGTTTTTCACTTTGGTAGGCAATGATTGGCAAATCAATCAAAGGTATGCTACTCAATTTTGGTGAAAAACGATGCAATGGAAACATTTAGGCTTGGCTCCTTCTAATCTATTTGAATTCACTGGGTTATACAAAGTCTCTATACTTACCATTGTCAGATACGAAGAACTTGATTTTCTTATTTAAAACATGGATAAAATTAATCGAAAGATAAAGATGCCTTGTTCATCATTATCCGAGTACTCTATAAGCGAAAAAGGAGCTCCACAGCATCGAAAAAAAGGCTCTGCTGTCCCGAAATGACTGGTTCAATGAATTGGATGAGATCGTGTTAAGAAACGATTTGGCGTGAGTTTTAGAACAGTCAGTAGGACTTCTGGAAAACTTTTTGCAAGCGTTGAATAATCGGAACCATGTTGTCTCCAGAAGAAATTGCGTCTTAATAGCGCTTCGTCTTTATACCACGGCAACTTATTGCTTCTGTTAAATGACCTATTGATGGCCCCACTTTTTATTTGAACAGGAACAAAGATTCCCAGTAATCACTTTTTATTTTTCTACGCCAACTGGCGGGGAGGTATCGAAAATGCAACAGTATGTTTTTTGGATGTTATATGAGATACACATCATGGAAAACCATATTACTCATTTCCGCAGGCCTGCCGGTCTGCTTGTCGGTCTGTCTGTACGCGAATCTATGACCGGTCTATAAGTTCAGAAGCACCGCTCGGATTTCGATGAATCTTTCATACGAGGTTGCTAGTATGCCAAGGATGAAAAGCTTTGTACTTTTTGAATATTGGTCCAGAGGTTGCGGAGAAACATAACAATAATGAAAAAAAATAAACATCGCTCAAATTTTGTTTGTTGATTTTTCACAGGATCCTATTCATTTTTGGAAATATTTTTAGGGGTGAAAAATCAGGGGGGTTTGAAGGTGGATGAGGTGTTGTAGGGGGGTGGGGGAAGGGGTATCGCAAGTTTTAGGTTTTTATATATTAATACACTTCTAATCCCAATAATTCTACGTACCTATCAGACATATTTCACACATCACAGGGTGCCCTGTACATTTGCCTTTAAAAGGATGATAGAAAAATGTTTCCGGTGTTGGCATGTGTGGTGCAATGCGCGTCTGATGCATCATGTTTCCAGATATTGGGGAGAAACGACGGGACGTTGCCAGATGGACGGCACTGCTGGTAGTGCCAGGAAAGAATGTTATGGACTAATTCTACGGACATGTTTGACGTTTAATTTCTTTGATATACATGCTGCTTTTGTTTGTCCAACTAACGACAGACAACCACAGACAGCTAATTCGTGTTTTTTTGGCAACTCGTCAGCAAGATCTAGGCCTGGTCTCTCGGACAACGAACGAGTCATACAACTATCCCCTAATCATGATATAAGGTCTAACGCGCTGCCTTATTTTGATAACGTCGTTGCGTTAGACGTGTAGAGTGATCCTGCTTGATGTCATTTTGTTATGTAAACAAATGGG